TAATATTGTTCTGCTTAGGTCAGGAATGTCCATTCCAGCCTGCCTCTTTAGGTAACGTTCTCGGTGGAGCAGAATTCTTCGCCCATGGCCAGGCCGGCGAAAAGGAAGTTTAGGAGAACCAGAGTGGGTCGGATTGTCTCATAGTTACTCTCTTCCCTCCCCTCAGGATGAATCAACACCAGTTTAGGACATGCGTTGGTAGCCCTTTGGCAAGTTTGTGTGAGGTCCTAGCTACTGTCTTATGTGCGTGTGATTTACGTAGACGAATCGCATCACCCCCTGGTGGGAATTGTGTCCAACCTCGCTACCTTGTTACCGATGTGTTGAAAATGGAAGAGAGGATGTAGTTGCCCCACTCACGACGCCTGCTTTCTCGGTCAGACATAGCTATACAAACTGGCCACCAACTTCAAGGCCGACGCAGCTGTGTTCTCGCTCAAGGCGTTTTGACGCCTGGGCGTGTGCCCTCGACCCGCAGAGCGCAAGTCCGCAGTTCACTGGCACTGTACTTCAACAATGACAACTAAGTCAGGATTGTCCTGTTCAGTCGGCTTCATAAATAAACGTCCGGAGGTAGGTCAGAATTCTGTGTTGCATGCGGGGAACATGATTCTAGGCCGACAAAAAAAGTGTAGGAGTACTAGCATAGGTTGGATTGACTACTCCAACCTGCTCCTCACCCCTCTCAGAATGAACCGACACTGGTTTAGGGCATCCGTTGGTGGACTTGTGGCAAGTTTGTGTGAGGTTTAACTAATGCTTCATGTACATGTGTCAGACTTAGACGAAACATTTCACCCAACCGCCTTACCTCATCATTGGATCATGGAAAAGGGAAGAGACGGTGTAGTAGCCCTAGTCCAGGCGTCTGCCGCAACGCTGCGCCGCTCTCGCGTATTAGTGGCAGTCTACTTCTTGGTAGATCATAACTATCCAAACTGGTTGATCAACTTTAAGGCCGACGCAGGCATGCCGTCGTTCAAAGCGCTCTGACGCCTGCCAAGGTTGCACTTGAGCACCTGCCCTCCCGACGCTGGGCATGCGCCCTCAGCAGGTTTTCAACTTATTTCAAGCTACACATTCTGTGCAGAATACAGCGTCGAACATCTCCTTTCTATTTGGGATCGAGCCTAAAGGTCCCAGTGGATAGACTCTGCCCACGACGTGAGCTGCCGTGACGAGGGAGATCGAACTGTTCGTGCATTTGGGCACGCCGATATAACCTTTTTAACAAACTAGGATGCTGCAGGAGATCAGCAGGAGATAGAGAAAAGAAAGCATGCATAAGGAAAAATTCACATCAACGATTGAGTGGCAGAAAGCTGAATAGAAGGTTGAATCTGCTCCCACTTAAAGGTGATTTTGTGTGAAGGCACCGGGAAAGGTCGGAAGGTGGTGATAATCTAACTAACTTACGAGAAAATTAAGAGATGCAAAGGTTAGGAAATGGCTCGGTCAGGAAGACTGCCTAATATGATGGGCTGGTGGTAGTCGTGGCCCAACCCAACTCCAACACGTTCGTTAGAGAAATTGTCTTCCTTTTTTCGGTGAAATATAAGTCATTTACCGCGAATATGAACTTTGTTGGGTATTTTGGCAGATTTTGAATAATTCATATTGACCCAACTGTGAAAAACTCGGCTTCCTCAGTGGGACTCGAACCCACAACAGCAGAAGGAGGGCTTTAGTACAGCTAACGCTACAGCCACCTGAGCTGCGAGGTCCCACCGGGAGCTATGAGTTCAATCAAATTTGGATCAAGTTATTTGCCAAGCCTACTAAAATGTTTGGAATCCACCAGGTGTGATACAGTAAGCTCACTGCCCAAGTAGGCTTTCCTAAGTAGTCCTTATAGAATCCGCCCGATAAAAACGAGGCTTACGCAATTAATGGGTGTTTTGGTAGATTTTGAATAATTTGTGTTGACTCGACTGTGAAGAACTCGGTGGGTTTCGAACCCACAGCAACAAGGGAGGCCCAACCCTCATGATGTGTGCACGAAATATCAGTCCAGCAAATTTGGTTGTACTGGCGACACTTTGCATTGGTTGTGGCTTCTGTTGGGCAGGAATTCCGGAGGAATTGAATTGCATTGGCCGGCGAAGCGGCGAGTTCTGTGTGCGTGGCGCGACTGTTGCCATAGCCGGCAGGGGAGGGGGGCAGATCCGAGTGGCTGCTGTTGTGCCATACCTGAATCCGACAGCGCGACCGTCTGTGGTAGTAAATCGAGGTTACCATGTCCGGACAAAAAATCAGTTAGATCGTGGGCGGCTGCGCTGCCGCTGGAATCTGTTGGATCGAGAGAAACATAGAATAGGCAGCCAAGTGTGCGAGAACAACACCTGTAAAACTTCGGTGCATCGAGTGAGCTACTCAGAACTGTTGACTCGGAGGAAACGCGTGAAATTGCGTACTTTTTGGTTACAGACCTGATCTCAGGCCCGAACCGAAAGTCTTTGTTGTTTGTCTGAAATGACTGGCGGTCGAACTGAGCCGGATATAAACAAAGTTCCTACATAGGAACAAAAAAGATCATGGTGCGGACAGGGGAGCTGGGTGCTGCATCAGGTACATCAAGGGGGATACAGGAGAATAAACAGAAAAAAATCTTTTGAAACTAAAGTTCATCGACTTTGGCGGCCTTGAGCACAATTACACCGGCTTTACTGGATTGGAGACACCTGAAGTGACAGGCGGAAAGGCTGCTTAAAGAGGGCTTGAGGGATGATAATTCGGCGATAAGTCCATTGATAACTATGTCGACTTCCATCCGTCTACTGAGACCTAGGCAGGCATGCTCAGTCATATGGGTCACCTCGTAAAAGATTAAAACTATAAAGGTGAATGCAGTCGATCGCACGAGAAGCAGAGGGCTCTGATTGCCAAATTTGTCCACCGAGACTGTCCGGGTTGATGGTTTTCTTACCTTGCCGAGGACAGACTGGAGAATGTTTTAGGGCGCTCCGGATAGGGGGCTTATTTGTGACTGTTCATATGCCCTTTTGCATCTTTAAAAACAGTCCTTCCGTTGGGCAGCGGAATCGACGTAAGCCAACCACCGCCCTTATGATCTAGCGGTTGTAAGCTTGCCTAATACTGGCCAATCCATGCTAGTCGATTAGCTTACACTAATGATAAACCAAGTACTGATAGGAAACTCGGGCGCGCGTTTTTCTTCCTGAGTTGGCTGCCGGTTGAGGAAATAGACTTCTCATGTGGGGTAGGACGTGGACGGAAGGAAACGTCGTATTTCACTATTGCTGTTGCATGCAAATTTGCAGATCCCCTAGGTGCTCACCTCCGGCCTACACCCTACAGAACAGGAGATAGTGGAAGAACGAAGTAAAGAGAGGCTTATACTGTGCGTGCTGCAGTTTCCGCAAACAGAAGACAGAGAGCGTGCAAACATGTTGGCATCCGTACCTCCTAAAGCGCGTATAAGCCTTCCTTTCCCAGTAAACCGACCGCGCTAGCAATGAAGTGATCACAGCTGTGGGGCGAATGAAACAAGTGCGCAATCAGCCTCCGGAACGACCAATCACAGACGCTCGTATGCCCGAAATCACCCAATCGAATGGTTAAATCGGAGAAATCGAAAGACTGCTCCGAACGCGAGTGGCCGAACGCGCTGCTGCGGTGCGGAGAAATGACGCTAGCTCTCAAGTTGCGGTTCATTCGACGAGATCCGGCCACATATTCAGATTCAACGAGGCCGAAATTCTCACTAGAGGTGGCAACCGCGTGAGCCGCGAGCTGCTTCAGTCATGGTTCACTGGCTCCCAGTCTATTAGGAAGTGCAACGACCTTCCCCTTCCATATTCTGTGTTAAAACCTTGCCTAAGCGGAGTTATTAGCTAAGCGGGGAGCGCACAAGCGAACGCTGTTCCCAGCGCCAGGGTCGGTGGATCAGATGGTCGAGCAATCATCACACCAACATCCAACATCCCTCATTGAATTGCAGCAATTACCGACGCAAATGTCCGCCATCAAACAGTCATCACACCAAGTACAACGATCTCCGAGGAAGGGGGATGGGAGCCGTGAATATTCATAGGTATGCGGTAGCATGGCGACTGCATCCTATAAATACTGTAGCCCCTTGTGCCTGGACCACCCGTATCTGCTTTTGTCTCTGATGATGGGTTCGAGCGGGAATCCGAAACGTCATGCGACTAAAGCTCTTGTCCCAGCGATCGTGTCTCCCTCTGCACGACTGCTTCCTGGGACTCGTCTCCTCGTTTCTATTGGCCATGTCGGTTTTGCCGCCACAAACAACTGTGTTTACAGTGTGTCCCCCAGTAGTGTGGGCGCCGGACAGTGACTTGTGCGGACTTGCGCAACATCTGCCGCACTCCCTCCTCTATCACCATCCCCCTGGACCCGGAGATATGGCTGAGTCAGGACGGTCGAAGGGAAGATCAGTGGTTGTGACTAACAGAGTCAAACAACCCATCCACGCGCGCGACACACGTCTGGTTAACGCACGATAGATCAGAGTTTCGTAAAGGATAAGGGGAGAATCGTCCATCCGTTTGTTGGTGGCATAGAGGCCACATGCATAAGGTACGATTGGAGTGTGACTACCCGTCCGGCGAGGACCGTGTTAGTTGGCAGCTTTCCAAACCTCGACATTTAGCGCACCTTGATAGTTGTTAATCACGTCAGATTGTTTACACTGAACAAATTCGCTGAAGTATACCGTGTGAACGGAGTCCGAAGCGTCAAATTCACTCCCATGCACCCTATATGGGGCTTAGGTGTAAATGGTTGGCAGGCACGCCTGCGCTTGCCGCAGGCGACCTTGCCTCCATATGATACACCACCTTTTCACACAAAGAGGGTGGGAAGCCTGAATCTCTCATACAAGAAATTGCCTGACTCTCAGTTCACCAGTCATGTAATTCCATGTATACACGTGGTACTGACTGTGAGGTTTCATTTACGGCAACCTTCCGAGCCACAACGTCCAGTGTACCGCGGCGGATCCAATCGCGCCACTTCTATGATAGTGTGCATTGTGCTGATGCGCCACAGTGATGGCGTTTCGATTCAGTCTCCTCCTCCTCCTCCTCCTCCTCCTCCTCCTCCTCCTCCTCCTCCTCCTCTCTTTCCTCTCTGAGCCGGTCAACCAACGGAGGCTGACGCAAATATACACGACAACTGCCAGCGGCACATCGTACAACACGGCAGTTTGACCGTCGTTTCCGATGATGTCCACCGTGCGCTTCACGACCAGGTGAAACAGGCACGGTGACGTGCGCTTGAATTAGTTTATAGTGGTAGTAGACTTGCCCAGCATCTACCGCACTCTCTCCGCTCCGCCCCCCGCTTGAGCCCGGTGTAAAGACAGAGTCAAGAAGACCGGAGGCGGGGGGGGCACAGGTGGATGGTGTGGTCGAGTCCGCACCTTGGCGTTCCACTCCACACCTCCCCGGTCCACACAACAAATGACCAGGATTCTAACCAATGACAACAATAGGGAGGGCTACAGGGATTCCAATGTGCGCGGCGTCTGCCGGCATTTGTTATGGTACGCATTCCGACAACGCCTGCCAGGATCCGGTATGGCCCCCGTGTTGGTCCAGAGTATTTGCCACGTAGCCCGTCTGGGGAGCACACATCGTAGGACACCCATGCATCATTCGCATGCAGTGTACTTTACTAATGGCCGTATGACGAGCGAAACGTCGCACCTGGGTAGGCCGTGTGCCAAGCGCAGACGGACTGCTTTACTTTGTCGGTCAATTTGTTAACGCCCATCTGTGGGTATTTCGGACTTGGTCTCACCACCGGAGCATGCTGGGTATGAAAGGAGGAGAAAACAGGGCAGATTGTACGCAAATCTGCTTCGCTATGAACATGTTACCGCAAAAGGCACTCCTGCGTTCACGTTTTGAAGTTGCGGCCAGTTGCGATGGTCGAACAATCGAATTCCTGGAATCGTTTAATGATATGGACAACTTAAAGACTTGCTGGCACTGAAGGGTCACACGTGAGAGCGGATCCAGAAGCTAGAGTACTAACGTAGTCAAGCGCTAGACCCCCTCCCCATCACGTATCAGTGACAGTTCCGTATCGAGCCCACAGGAGGGGAATCTGAGAACCGATAGATCAGGTTAGGAACGTCCATTTGACCTTTGTGGAACGCCCGTACTAATCTCGTTCTCACCTAACGCCACAACACAACCCGTTTTTGAGGTCTCCTGAGACCTGACACTGCAAACAACAGGCAAGTCAGTGGCTGGAGTAAGTTGGCAACCGGGCGAGAGAACAGATCCGCCCGCGAGAGCGGCGTCCTGAGTAACGGTGGGGAATGCGCCACAGCGCCTCGAATGAGAGCACATCTGAGTCGACCTTGAAGATGGTTGACTGGTTAACACAGCCGTGATTGGTCAAAAACCAGACTGTCAAGGGTGCGCGCATAAGAGTACCGCAGAGGAAGGTGCAGCATTGAAACAGGTGATCAGAGTAGGGTCACTACACATCCAAGCTGGTGATGGTCTGCGCCGAACACCAAGGATTCTTTGTAGTCCAAATTACTTGCCATTAACTACCGTACTCCTAAAACGGACCACACTGTAGATGCGCTGGACCAACACGGAGGCTAGGTCGGAGTCAACACCATTAGGCTGTGGTGGCACGCCGCCTCCTTTTTTGTCTTGTGTAAAATTCTGGTCAGTGCATGCTGCAGACCAAGGGATGTGGTGGCACACCTAGGTGCGTGCTTTCACCATGCGAACCAACTGCCCCCTCTCCTGCCTCC